TTGGTTTTCAATATTTCTAATTTGGTGTTTAGTTGAGGATTTTTAATTTGTTCTTTTTCTAGTTTTTTTAGTTGTATGCCCAATTCATTAATCTCCTCTTTTTCTATTTTATGTAAGCATTTAGAGATATAAAACTTCCCCTAAGAACTGCTTTTGCTGCATCCCATAGGTTTTGGTATGTTGTCTCATTATTGTCATTCTCTTGAATGAAATTATTGATTGTTTCTATGATTTGTTGTTTGACCCAATCATTTTTTAGGATTAGATTATTTAGTTTCCAATTATTTTTTAGTCTATCTTTCCATGGCCCTTTATTACATATAATTTTTATTGCATCATGATCTGAAAAGGATGCATTTAATATTTCTGCCTTTCTGCATTGGATTGTGAGGTTTTTATGCCCTAGTACATGGTCAATTTTTGTGTATTTGCCATGTACTGCGAGAAAAAAGTATATTCCTTTCTATCCCCATTCAGTTTTCTCCAGAGGTCTATCATACCTAACTTTTCTAATGTTCTATTCACCTCCTTAACTTCTTTCTTGTTTATTTTGTGGTTAGACTTATCTAGTGCCGAGAGGGGGAGGTTCAGGTCCCCCACTAGTATAGTTTTGCTGTCTATTTCTTCCTGTAACTCCCTGAACTTCTCCTGTAAGAATTTGGGCGATATACCATTTGGTGCATATATATTTAGTAATGATATTACTTCATTGTCTATGGTGCCTTTTAGCAGGATGTAGTTTCCTTCCTTATCTCTTTTGATTAGATCTATTTTTGCTTTTGCTTTGTCTGAGATCAGGATTGCTACCCCTGCTTTTTTTACTTCAGCTGACGCATAATATATTCTGCTCCAGCCTTTTACCTTTACCCTGTATGTGTCACTCTTTTTCAAATGTGTTTCCTGTAAACAACATATTGTAGGATTATGGTTTTTAATCCATTCTGCAATCCATTTCTGTTTTATGGGAGAGTTCATCCCATTCACATTCACAGTTATGATTACTATCTGTGTCTTTTTCTCCATCCTTTCCCCCCATTTATGCTTTTCTTTCTCCTTTTCCCCCTTCACTAGTGTTTTGCTTTTGACCACCGCCTCCTTCAGTCCCTTCCCCCTTTTATTATCCCTTTCCCTTTTCTTCCCCTTTATCTTACTGCTGCTTCCCTCCCTTCTTCCCTCCCTTTTCCCCCTCCCTTTTCTTTCCCCTTTTCCCTCCCACTGCCTATAGGGCAAGTTAGATTTCTAAACTGATTATATTATGCCCTTCTTGAGCCTAATCTGATGAGAGTAAGGTTCAAACAATGCTCCCCCCCTTCCCTCTGCTGTAATAGGATTTTGTGTCTTTTCCTATAATGTAATTTACCCTTGTCTGCCTCCTCCTTTTTCAGTACCTTTTCTAAGATTAGATTGATCCACTTATTTGGATCCATTTAACTTGATTAGATTTTTTTTTATCATTACATCAAAGTCAACTAATATCCACCCTCTTTATGTATACTCCTTTAACAAGGTGTAATAACAATACAGTTCTCAAGGGTTGCAAGTCTCATATTCCCTTGTAGGGGTTTAAACAGCCCCCCCCTTATTAACAGCATATTGTATCCTTCTGTCCCATTTACCTTTTTAAGTCCTTCTTGAGTCCTGTACTTGAAGATCAAATTTTTTGTTGAGCTCTGGTCTTTTTATCAGGAAAGTTTGGAAGTCTCCTATTTCGTTGAATATCCACCTCCTCCCTTGAAAAATGATGCTCATTTTTGCTGGGTAATTGATCCTTGGCTGCATTCCAAGCTCCTTTGCCTTTGGAATATCATGTTCCATGCCCTGCGGTCTTTTAATGTAGAAGCTGCAAGGTCCTGTGTAATCCTGACTGTGGTTCCATGATATTTAAATTCTTTCTTTCTGGCTGCTTGCAGCACCTTCTCTTTCATCTGGTAATTTTGGAATTTTGCTATTATATTTCTTGGGTTGTCAATTTGGGATCTCTTTCAGGTGGTGATCGGTGGATTCTTTCTATGGTTATTTTCCCTTCTGGTTCTAGGACTTCTGGGCAGTTTTCTTTTATGATTTCCTGAAAGATACTGTCCAGGCTCTTTTTTTCATGATTTTCAGGTAGTCCAATAATTTTTAAATTGTCTCTCCTGAGTTGATTTTCCAGGTCGGTTGTTTTACTGATGAGGTATTTTACATTTTCATCGATTTTTTCATTTTTTTTTTCTGTTTGACTGATTCTTGCTCTCTCATAGAGACATTAGTTTCCATTTGTCCAATTCTAGTTTTTAACAGATTGTTTTCTTCTGTTAGTTTTTGTACTTCCTTCTTCAACTGGCCAATTGTGTTTTTTAGGGACTTGTTTCCTTCAGCATACTCTTCTGTTAGATTTTGTACTTCCTTCTTCAACTGGCCAATTGTGTTTTTTAGGGATTTGTTTTCTTCAGTGTACTCTTCTGTTAGTTTTTGTCCTTCCTTCTTCAATTGGCCAATTGTGTTTTTTAGGGACTTGTTTTCTTCAGTGTATTTTTTTCCAACTGGCCAATTGTATTTTTGAAGGACTCTTTTACCTCTCTCATTTGACTATTAAAATCCTTCTTGAGCTCTTCTAAGAAGGCTTTTTGGGCTTCAGACCAGTTCATATTCCTTTTTGTTGTTGCAGATGTGGGTTTGTTGACAATGTTGTCCTCTTCAGAATTTCTGTCGTGATCTTCACTCTTCTCGTAATATGAGTCTATGGTACGTTTCTTTTTACTCATGGTGTTTCCTTATTCCCTGGCCTTTAAAGAGATTGAGCTCTCCTGCTGGGGAGCAGAGGGTACTGACCCAAGCTTCTTGTGTTTGGAGCCTAGGTCTTGGTCACTGGCTTTGCGTTCTGGGGCCTCTTACGCTGGGATTTGGAAGCTGTAGGTTTCTGGCAGCTTACCTTGTGTTGGGCTGGAATCAGCAAGGCTGGAACTTTCAGGCAATTCTAGGTTGCCTGCTTTTCCTTTCCTTTAGCTTTCTTCTGCTCCCTTTAGATGGCTGCTGCAGGATGTTTATCTGCCTGGGGCCCCCTGCAGTGTTGTCTCCCTTGGTTCTGCTAATGCACTGGGAGATTCCTTTGCAGTGGAGTGCCGAGGCTCCTGGTGGTTTTCTGAGCTGGTTTCCACCGGTTCCCCCGCCCTCACTGAGGCACTCGGAGGTCCAGGTGTTGGTGTTTGCCTGCTGTACCACCTGGGCTTCAGGATTTCTTCACAATTGGAAGCTTCCTACAGCTCACCTGGTGTTGGGTTGGAATCAGCAAGACCGGGGCTTTAGGAAGCCTTTAGGTTGTTTTCTTCACCTCCTTTCAGATGAATGCCACAGGGTACTTATCCGCCTGGGACCCCTTGTTTTTGCTGAGGCACTGAGAGATACGTTTGCTGGGCTATTGCACTGCTGCTCCTTGTCTTTCTTCTAGTTCAGGTGTTCCAGGGTTTGTTTTTTTTTTCCTGGGCTGATGTTTTCTGGGTTTGCAGAGGTTGATAGGGGAGAGTGAGAGTGACTGCCTTTTCATTCCGCCATCTTGGCTCCCGGAAGCCCTTCTTTCTGTTTCTTAAGATCATCAAAATATAATACAGCCACTCCCAGGTCTTCTGTTTTATTTAACTCCTTTTTTTGATCCTTGATGGGGTTTGGTTTCTGGAAGGATACTTGTTTTTTTCTTTTTTTTTTTCATTATTGTTTTTGGTTGGGCAATGGGGTTAAGTGACTTGCTCAGGGTCACACAGCTAGTTAAGTGTTATGTGTCTGAGGCTAGATTTGAACTCAGGTCCTCCTGAATCCAGGGCCAGTACTCTATCCACTGCGCCACCTAGCTACCTCTTTTTTCTCTCTTTATTAGCATGTAAGCACTTCATCCTTGGAATAATCTCTTCGGGTTGCTCAAATGTATTTACCTTTTTATATTTGACTCCTGTGCTTGCATTTCTTAATTTCTAGTCAGCTCTGGTCTTTATCAGGAATGATTGGGAGTCCTCTTGTTTCATTAAAGGTCCATTTCCTTCCTTTAGGATTATAGGTAATTTTGCCAGCTAAAGTATTCTTGATTTCTAGCCTTTAACTGTTGCTTTTTAGAATATCATCTTACAAGCTCTAGCTGCCAAGTGTTGTATGATCCTGACTGTGATTTCTTGGTACTTGAACTCTTTCTTTCTCATGGCTTACATTTTTTCTCTTTGTCTTGGAAGCTCTGGATTTTGCATTTTATATGTCTAAGTGTTTATTTTAAAGTTTCTTTCAAGAGATAACTGGTATATTCTTTCTATATTCATTTTTCTTTCCCTCCTCATCTCTGCCTTCTGGCTCCCCTGTCTTCTACAGGAATCCTCTCCCAAACCCTCTTAATTCTAGTGCTTTCCTTCTGTAGATTATTTCCTCTATCCTGTCTATCACTTGTATCTTCCCCATTATATTGTGAGCTTTTTGAGAGTAAGAACTGTCTTTTGCTTTCTGTTGTATCCCCAGCACTTAGCACAGTGCCTGACACATAGGAGGTGATGAATAAATGCTTATTGACTGACAGGTTCTGTTAGATCAAGGCAGTTTTTATTCGTGATTTTTTTTTTTCTTGGTGAGGTAGTTGGGGTTAAACACAGATAGTAAGTGTCAGGTGTCTGAGGCCTGATTTGAACTCAGGTCCTCCTTGACTCCAAGGCCAGAGTTCTATCCATTGTGCTGCCTAGCTGCCCACATGATTTCTTGAGATATGATTTCTAGGCTTTTTTTGGTCATTGTTTTTGCCTCGGTTACACAGCTAAAGACCCTAGTCCCATTCCCATACTGGAAGGTTTCTACCTCTGACTGTGCTGACCTGGGCTGGAAAAAAGTTACCTACTATAATTTCTCCCTGCATTTTCCAATGTCAGTTGCTCTTCCTCAGTCTGCTGAAAGTTGTGAAAGAGAGCTAGGCTTCTTCTCATTCCACCATATTTATTGGTCTCCTTAGACATAGCTTTATTATTCATCAGCTTTATTGTCTTACACATTTTCAGGGGCAGCATTCCTGGCTATCACAACTATCTATGCTGTGACTGGATCAGGATTTGTAGTGCCAAGTGCTGCTGCCAAAGCAGGTGTGGAAATAATGAATATGTAAGTAATGATCACATTTATCTTGAAGCTTAAGTTGATTGATGCAATTTAGTAGCATCTGCTGTCCTGTTCGTCTTTTTTAGCTCCTTTTACTTGCATCTCGATCATCAACATACCCCAATAAGTAATGTACTAACCAGGAGACCTAAGTTAATTTTAACCTACTTATTGCATGTTATATAGATAGCATACTTTAAAATTTCAAGACAGCCTTGTGTGAATTAGGAATTAAGTCATATTTTCAGGGCATAAACTTCTTCACTGTCATTTTATTCTTTTTTTGCTGTTTGCTGCCCTTGCCTCTAAGAATGTATAAATAAGAATGTCTTACAAATTCCAGCCCAAGGCCACTGGATGAACCAGACTCTGTCCATTTCCTTCTTTTTATTTTTAAATACTTGTAATGATAAAGTATCCTAATGTGGGTGAGAATCATCCTGAACAACTAAAGAGGGAAACTGAGGCAAAGCTCTGTACCAGAACACTTTATTAAAGAGACCTGCCCCCTTCAGTGAAGTGGACCCCACACCCTCCTCACGATCGGAGGTGCCCCCTCCTTGAAAATATTTGCATCTCCTCAGATAAGTTGCAGTAACACTAATAACCATGATTCCCTTGGCAGGGGAAGAGTTTCTGGAGTGGCAAAAAAGAGATCCATCATTTTGCTTCTATGTTATATTAGAATAACAAATAAGACTTCCATCCTTTTCAGCTTAATGGGGTAGATACAGTTAATGGGGTAGATACCTGTACAAAACAGAGGCATTGAGGCTACAATTAGCACTGGAATGTATGTGAAGGGAGGCTTGTGTCTCTGAGTGGCCTTTCTTGATCTTCATTTCATGGTGAAAAACAATAAGAATGTCAGAACTACTAAATAGGCAGTTTCTATCCATTGGAAAGAAAATAAGGAAACTGCTTTTACCTTCCCTTTACAAGGACAGATATAATTTAAAGGGAAAATTTCTCCATGGCAAGCATTAGATAACAACATTAAAAATACAACCAGAATATGTTAGGGTCTTAATCCATTGACTGCCATTGTGAAATATAAAAGTATGAGGTTTAAAACTACTAAAATAATGAAAATCATCCATACCCGTTGGGGCAAAGGTGATTCCTTTCACATCTAAAAGATTCTTATTAAGAAAGCCCTTGGAAAAATCCCCTAAGAAAATTGGCCCCAAAACAGGCAGGTTTTACAATGATCAATGGATCCACAAGTTTTTTTTTTTATCTTTATGACTGTTGGAGTCATCAGCAGTACTTTGACCTAGAGACCTTGTGTCCACAATGGTAGAGCTGGAGGAGGAGATGATGACTATCACTCTGGCAGATGTCAGCAGTAGGTGAGGCTAGTAAGGTCATCAATTACTGGACTAAAACTGAGTCTGTGAAGACAATAGAGGCGAAATCCTGCCACAAAATTTGAGAGAACAAAGTAGGAGACTCAACATAACTTTGAGGTAAACGAGTCCATGTCCATTGCTGATTATTTGAAGTAAATGTGAACAGGTATCTGGATTTGGGGCTTATAGGAATACTAAAAAATACAGCACACAGATTTATTACTGTATAACAGGTGGCATCATGGGGAATAGAAGAAACAATTGTGGCAGGGTTAGGCACCACAGGATGTGTTGGTATAACATATGCATTGATGACATGCAAATCTTGAACAAACCTGTAAACAGGTTTGCCGTCAGGGCCTGGTTTAGGTTTCTTAACAGGCAGTATGGGAGTGTTGCAGGGAGATCTGCATGGAACCACAATCCTTTGATCTGTTAAGGAGCTAATGACAGGAGCAATTCCTTCAATGGCTTCCTCAGTCAGAGGATATTGAGGCACTGATGGTGGTGGCCCGCCTTTGGTAGTAATAGTAACTGGGACTCACTTCAGAAGGACCGCATCAGTGGAAGAAGTGGTCTACAAAGAATTCGGGATATCAGAAGAAATATTAGGGCTGTTGCAATCACATTGGAACTAACCCCACAGGAAAAAAGAGAGAGGAGCTCATCACTACTAAAATCTGTAAATCCATCAGCAAATACTGAGAACAAAAAGCACTTGTAGAGTCAAAGTATTCCCCGGGAGACATGAAATAGTGGTGCTAAATTTGCCCAAAGATCACTTCCAAATAGATTAGTAGATGCATTAGATACCCATAAAAAAGAATGCAGAGAGCCCATTGTCATGCCTTGTGGGGACGAGATGGGGACTTCTCGAGGTGTTCCCTCTGTTCCCACAATCTGTATAGATTGAATAACAGTACAGCCAAAACTTGGTTTCTTACTCAAAACTGAATGAGTGGTTCCAGTATCAACAAGGCAAACATGTGACACACCTGAAATTGTCAGAACTATGCTTGGTCCAGTTAAGAGAGGGGCAGAGGCAGGGATAACAGGGGCAAGGATGTTAGAAGAAACTCTGTTCCTTGCCTCTCCCCTGCACCTTCATTCACAGAAGCCTTCCTGTTGTTCATACCCTCTGTCACTTTGTTCCTGGATATCTCTGTGCTCATTAGTCACCTCAACTTGGTTTAAAGGCTGTCTGAATCTGTTCTCCCTTGGAGGGGCATAATCTTGCCTCTGAAGCCAATTTGGGTCTTGCGCTTGGGCCCTGGTAACTCAGAGACCCCTCTAGTCCTGCCTTCTCACCATACATTGTCTGGCAAAGTGCTCTCTCTTCCCACAATAAAAGCAGTCCCTGTTACCTCTATTAGGGTTCTGGACAAAGGATGCCAGGTGACTAGGAGTCTGAACATTTGCCAGGAGAGACTTAGGTTGACCTCTGTATCTGGGCTTCTCCCTGTATCAGCATTGTCTTTAGCTGGCTCTTTCCCTTCATAAACATACTGCGTAATTGCCTTATGTTCCCCTATGGGTTTTTCATGCCAGCCTAGACAGTACTTGAGAAAGTATTCCTTAATTTTAGGCAATGATTAACAAAGGCTGCAGTAATAATCCTGGCATTCCATTGATTATGGGGATCTAATCTAGCGTAACGCTTTCCACTCTTGCATAATCTCGAGGAGGGTCTCATCCCCTTTTTGGACCGTCTCTTGGAATTTACTGAAATTGTCTGGTCTTTCTGCAAACAGTTCTATACCCCTAAGTAAGGTGTCCCTGGCCTATAATAGCTGTGCAAACGGTGTGGGCTGATCCATTGGGGATCTTGTATTGGCCAGGTTCCCTGACCTGTCTAACCCACAATTTGTCTGCTCGTCCTGGAGATGGCAGAGTCTCCATGAGATCTGTAGCATCGCTCCAAGTTGGGTTTTAGCCACAAAAGATAGCCTTAAATTGATTAATAACTGCAACAGGATCCTGATCAAATCTAGGGGTATCTTTTTTCCAATTAGAGAGGTCTGAAGTTTTAAAGGGATAATGTTTCTTAATATATACAAGACTTTCCCCTGCTGCTTGATGGACTCTGTCTATCAGCAGAAAAACTGTGGTCAGTTTCTTGAACTTTTGTTATAGGAAGGGAGCTTCAGAAGGGGCAGAAGCAAGAGGGGCAGAAGCAGAAAGTGGAGCACAAAGGTCTGTCAAGGCTTGATCCTGTAGCTGTGTTTATGCTTGACCACATCTTTCCTGCTGGCATCCCCGACCAGGAGTGGCACTCTTTGGAGGAACTTCCCTTGACAGAATTGGACTAGATTCCCGAGATACCCACTTTTTAGGCTGTTTCATCTGAGAAGTTCCCCAGCCGAAGACACTAGAGATTACCTCCTTTGAGAATGAGTCAAAGGGGGTAATCTACCCACCTGAGTTCCACCTATATGGGTGTCTCTCTTATAGCTAACAGTTAATTGTTTAAGGGCTCCATTCTGGCGGGTTTACCAATTTCTTTCACATTCTTAATTTTTGGACCCAACCTCTAAGGCTTGAAGACCAGTTAGTTAATTAGAGCCCAAAGGTTCTTTCAGTGACTAGAATCAAGTGGTTGATCTCTGGAGACTTCTTATATGAACCTAAAATATTCCCTATATTCTTAGGAGTTGGGGAATTGGGGTCCCTGTCCTGAAGAGTCACATGGTTCACACCCCTTTAGCCTTTATGAGAGACTTCTGGAGACCTGGTCATGGGCTGGTGTCCGGGTTCATAAGAATAAGAGATCCTCAGGGAGGCCCTATTTAGTGGTGCCCTTGATTGTTTATGACTTTTCATGGCTTTCAAATTGGCCACCCTTACTTTCTATTTTTTCCCCCCACCTAATAGTATTTTATTTTTTCTAATTACATGTAAAAATAGTTTTTCAACATTCATTTTTATAAAATTTTGAGTGCCAGATTTCAGCCTCTCTCACTGTAAGCTGCTCAAAATTCCTTGGTATGCCTAAAGTCAGCACTAATACCCTGAAAGGTGTTATGGACCTTTTTCTTCTATTAAAGGGGAACCGAGCTTCACTGCTAGCTCCCCTTTCTGCTACTGAAATTGCAGTGCCTTGCTCCTCGGACAGTCACAGGCATGGCTGCCAACAGTGTTACCTTTTCCCCCTTTTCCCCTTTGATGTGGTATTTATGAATACTTGAAGAAATCCAGAGACCAAGCTTATAAAGTATCCTTTTAGTTAAAAAAACAGTTACACCTTAATGAGATTAATTTCAGTAAAAACTCCCAAATACATAATGGTTTTAAGAAGAAAAAAAGCAATTAATCTCTCTCAATTCTGTCAAAACTGAGTGGAGTTTCTGGAAAAATGAAAAAGAAAAAAATGGGGAGGAAAAATCGGTTTACGTGTTAAAAACCATGGCCATGAGGAACTTTAAGTGCTCTGGAGCATATATACTCAGACATGAATTTGAACAGTACCTTTTAGCTCAATTAGGGACTTTACTTAAACATTTAGAAATAAAGGCAGAGTTACCAATCTGCAGCTTGGAGAGACTTACCTCAGGCTTGGAGAATCTAGGTGCAAGTGGTGAGGGGAGTCCAACCTCCCAGGGCTTGAATCCATGGGGGAGCCAAGGATGAAAATTTATCCAGTGCGTGATATCTTTTGATTCCCTTGCAGGTGCAAAAGCCAAAGGAGGTGGGCGTCCCAGAGCTTCCACTCCTATCTGACTTACCAGAAATGTAGGGGGGGAAAATCACCCCAAATGACCAGAGAGGGAAGCTGAGGTAGAGCTCTGAGCCAAAACACTTTATTAAAGGGACCTGGCCCCCTTCAATGAAGTGGACCCCAGACTTTCCTTGTGATCTGAGGTTCTCCCTCCTTCCAGGGCCCTTATTTTTATAAGTTTAGATACCTAGACATTCAGGAGTAGCTATATCAGATGCAGAATAATTCCATTGGTTGGCATATGATGCATAGACTAAAATAAGCAAAACAGTGTATCAGCTGGGTCATGGGTTGAGCAAGGCAGGAAATATTTCTACCCTGATTAGGTGGTCACAAGATGGATGGGCTATTTCTAAGGTTGGGCAAGAGGAGATGGTACAGAGTATACATATGTCCCAAGAACATTTTTGGGGGAACTGGGGAATTTTCTGTGCCGTGTTGAAACTCATGCTTGGTTGAGTCATGAAATTTGAGCCAAACAGAATGGAGATGTCCATGTCAGGATTCCTCTAGTCTTACAGTTGTGAAAGTAAGCTCCATAGCTGGTAAACAAGTATTAACCATTATATTAAAGCTTGAGGCCTATTAGAATTAGAAGGCCTATTAGGGCCTTCCTATTAGAATCTATATTCCTATACAATTTATAGAAAGTATGGATTAAGAATAATTAGCTGTCTTGACTAAATATGTATTACTAGATGAACATAGTTAAACAATTTCTAACAATTATTACCCCTTATGAAATCATGATGAACTAATGCTGATTAGAGTTTGAATAGGGATCCTCAAGGAATCAACTTTCTCACCAAAGTAATATGTTTAGAAATATGGGCAACAGTTAAACCCTTGTTTCTCCACCAATCATTGGCTGAAGTGAGGAAACTGAGGCATTTCTGACATACATCAGATCAGACTTCCTCTCTATATTTAGGGAAATCTGGGAAGTTATTTTGTGCTGCTGTCACACCACCTAATTTGTGAATACTGGCACTTTTATGACAGAATTAATATTTATCTGTAGGACTGGCCAAAGGCAATGTCCTTCTATAGAATGAATTTACAGCATCTATATCTTTAATTCTCAGTTCTTCACTTAAGATATGGCTGATTTAATCTCAGTTCTTTAATACATTTCACCTGTATATGTATGGTTTAGGCATGAAGGAGTCCTTTATAACTAGTGTACTAACAGAGAACATTTGCTACTTCATGATAGAGGAATGAATAGAAAGATTGATTATCTCTCATCCTCAAAAAATAAGCCTCTTGGAATTGGTGCATCACGACAAAAATGTATTTATTGGACCATTATGGAGAGGTATATACTGGGAATAAGTTGACCATAGCATAGTACTAATGATGACTGTTACTCAAGAATTGGCATAAAATATATAATCAAGTAGATGTGTGATCATAAAGGAAGTTGAGTTCCTTTATGTAGGTGAGATCAATCCCTCCTTGAATCTACCCTCCTTCTTATCTGCCTCCCACCTTTTTCTTTTCTTTTCTTTTCTTTTTTGGCTAGGCAGTGGGGTTAAGTAACTTGCCCAGGGTCACACATCTAGTAAGTGTTATATTTCTGAGGCCAGATTTGAACTCAGGTCCTCCCGAATCCAGGGCCTGTGCTCTATCCACTGTGCCACCTAGCTGTCCCCTCCCTCCTCTTTCATACCTCCTGTTTTCCTCCTGTTTCCCTGTTGGCATTTAGCCATTCAAGATAGTTATGAAAGGGGTACGCTAGCAACTCAGTGGTCAGAGTGCAGGGCCTGAAGTCAGAGAGACTCATCTTCCTGAGTTCAAATATGACCTCAGACACTTACTAGCTGTGTGAGCCTGGGCAAGTCACTTAACCCTGTTTGCCTCAGTTCCTCATCTGTAAAATGAGCTGGAGAAGAAAATGGAAAGCCACTGCTGTGTCTTTGCCAAGAAAACCCCCAAATGGGGTCATGAAGAGTCAGACATGACTGAAAAATGAAAGTCCCAAAGTGTCTTGGCGTCCACGGTGTTGTGTATGTGGTGAACACCTTGTTTAATTAAATTGAATGGAAATTGGTCAGCAGAGTACCAACTCCCACTGTCTTGGTGGCATCGTGTAACATGCTTCCTTAGGAGGCAGATTTGCTAGGTGTGATGACGTATGCCTGTGTTCCCTGGTGCTGGGGAGGCTTTTAGGTCTCTTGAGCTTGGGAGCTCTGAGCTGCAGGGAACCAAGTTGGGCGCTTCCTTGGTGAGCCCTCAGGAGAGGGAGGTCACCAAGTTGCCTAAGGAGGGGTGAACTGGCAGGTTGCTAAGAGAGCATGTTAAAGCTCCTGTGTCGATCACAGTGGGGTTGGGCCTGTGAATAGCTTAAGCAAGATAGGAAGATTCAATCTATCTATCTATCTATCTATCTATCTATCTATCTATCTATCTATCTTCTATCTATCTATCTATATATCTATATCTATCTATCTATATCTATATATCTATATATCTATATCTATCTATATATATCTATCTATATATCTATATCTATCTATATCTATCTATCTATCTATATCTATCTATATATCTCTATCTATATATCTATATCTATCTATCTATATCTATATATCTATATATCTATATCTATCTATATATCTCTATCTATATATCTCTATCTATCTATCTATATCTATCTATCTATCTCTATCTATCTATCTCTATCTATCTCTATCTATCTATCTCTATCTATCTATCTATATCTATCTATATAGATATATCTATATAGATAGATATAGATAGATAGATAGAGATAGATAGATAGATAGATAGATAGATATTTATATATCTTTTCACTTTACATTTAGTTTAAAAGTTTTCAGTCCCCAGTTCTCTCCCTCCTACCCCCCCCCACTCATTGAGAAGTCAGTATTTTTTTTAATAGGGGAAAACATTGATTTCCTATTCGTTTCTTATTTGTGATAATTTCTAGGTCTCTTGCATCTGAATGGGGTAGACATGGCCTGCGATTTAATGTGATTCAGCCAGGACCAATCAAAACTAAAGTAAGCCTTGCTTAATATATAGCATCATAGCGCATAACAACTTGGGGAATGTCCAGATATTGAATACCTACTTATTTATTTAAGATGTTGTAGAAATGAGCATTGGACAATTAATTGCCTTGGAGTATTGAAACATATAACCATTGAAATGGCTGTATGCAGAAGTTTTCTAGAATTTTAAAATGAGAACAAATAGAAAGGTGATAGGTCAGCAAAACTTATGTTGCATGCGTATGCATTCATACATTTTGGTAAATTTGGTATGCATTTCTGAGTAAAACTGACATCATAATGATCAATATTTAGGAAGGAGTGTGGTTTGTTGGAAAGAGCCTTGGATCTGGAGTCAAGAGAGCCTGGATTCCAGTTCTGCCTGTGCTGCCTACTACCTGTGTGACCTAGCAAGTCAGTTAATCTTGCTAGGCCTGAGTCTCTTTATCTGTAAAATTCGACAGTTTTGGACTAGATGGCTTCTTTTTTTTTTTTTAATTGCATATTTATTTTTAACATTCGTTTTTTCTGTTTAGTGTTTTACTTTTCCCTAGTTACATATAAAAACATTTTTTGACATTCGTTTTTAAAACTTTGAGTTCTGATTTCTCTCCCTTCCTTCCTCCCAACCTCCTTCCCCATTGAGAAGACAAGCAGTTCCATATAGATTGTAAACATGTGTAGTCATGCAAAACATATCCATAATAGTCATTAACATCCATTAAAAATTTTCTTTAGACTTCCAAATTCTCTCTTTCCTTCCTGTCTCTCTCTGCCCATTGAGAAGACAAGCAAAATATCAATTATGCCTATATTTTTTCTGTGATCCCTTTTGTATTTGGATCTTTGACCCTGAGACCATTAGGTACTTTATAGAATCTAACTGGCAGAAGATGTACCTTCTGCTGCAAATGACATCAACCCACAGCCAAACTTTAATCCCTTTTATAATACACCTGACAAGAATTTTTTCTGTTCTTTACTTGAAGGCCTCTAGTGAGCTTGGTCCTTTCACCAGCCTAGCCCCCTTTTATAGCTCTAATTGGCAAGTTTAAAGCTTCCTCCCATTGCTCCTGATTTCATTCTTTGAAGCCAAATAGAGGAAGTCTAATTCCTTTAACGCATGGCGTTCCATATACTTTAAGACAGATATCATCATGTTCCATCCAAGTCTTCATTTCTCCAGGCTAAACATCCTCAGTTCCAACCCTTGGTTCTCACCTTCAGTTCCTTCAGTCCATTAGACTGTGAGTTTCTTGAGGGCAAGGACTTTCTTTGTGCCCACAGTACTTAGCATAGTTCCAGACACCTAGCAGGCATTTCATGTTTACTGTTGACTGATTGACTTCAACTAGTCCTCTAGCATATCAATGATTATGATATAGTATTCCCCCCCAACACATCCTGTGATCCAGTGATAATTGACCTCCTTGTTGTTCCTTGCACAAGATACACCCATCTCGTGAATCCAAGCATTTTCCTTGGCTGTGTTCTATGCTTGTAACTCTCTCCCTCCTTGCCTCTGTCCCCTGGCTTCCCTGCCTTGCTTCAGGTCCCATCTAAGGGCCCACCTTCTGCAAGAAACCTTTCCCAGTCCTCTGAAATTTTTCCTGTGAGACCACCCCAGTTTATCTTTTAAATATCTCGTTTGTACCTAGTTGCTTGCATGTTGTCTTCCCCCATTAGACTGTGAGCTCCTAGAGAGAAGAGACTGGTTTTTTTTGTTTGTTTACCTTTCATTGTATCTCTGGCTCTTAACACAGTGCCTGGCAGATAGAAGGTGCTTAATAAATGCCAGATGACTGGAGGAAAGACTGAAATAGGGAGAGACTCGAGGCAGGGACACCAACCAGCAGGCTATTGCAGCAGTCCAGGCATGAGGTAAAGTGGTCTTGCAATAAAGTGGTGGCTGTGTCAGAGGAGAGGAGGGATGGTGTACGTGAAAGAGGTTGCAAAACTGGCAGTGATGGGATTTAGTGATTGATTGGATATTGGAGAGTAAGAGAGTGTGGAGTCGAAGGGGACAGCTAGATTGTGAGCTGGATGACTCAAAACACTGCCCTTATTTCTTCTTTGATTCTGACCTTGCACTTAATATAGCTAGAAAAACCCATTTTGTTGTTGTTAGTATTCATTGCCCCCTTCAGCTCATTTGGGATTTTGGTTTTCCTATCTTCCTTTTAGACTGTGCTATGTATTTGTATTTAACCTGTCAGTTAACCGACAAACATTTCTTAAGTGTGTCCCGTATTTGAAGCACCATGCTAAGTGCTGGGGATACAGAAAAAGGCAAATTCTAATGAAGGAGACAATGTGCTAACAGCTGTGTACATATAAGATATGAAATGGGTTTATATGGGAGATAACATGCCTTAGTTACTTTGCTTGCTCTTATCTTCTAAACAGGTATTTAAAAAAAATTTTATTAATGCCTTTTTTTTTTAACATATCAAGTCTAGTCAAATCACCAAGCATTTATTAAATTCCTACTAAGTGCCAGTTAGTGTGCTAAGTAAACCCGGGGGAAAGCAAAACCATTGCCTGCTCTCAGAGACCTCACAATCTAATGAGGGTGAGGGGGAAGACAACGTGCAAACAGTTATTTACATATAAGCTAAATTGGGGGTAATCAACAGAAGGAAAGTGTTAGCATTAAGGGAGATCAATAAAGGATCATTTAAATTTACCCCTACTTAAATCTCATCTTATTAGCACTGTTCTATAATTCAAACCTGGTGAGGTGTTTTGGGACCCTAATTCTGTTACCCAGCCTACTGGCTATCTCTCCCAATTTTATGTCTTCTGCGAGTTTGGCAAACATTATCTATGCCTTCTTCTAAACTATTGATAAAAACCCAATGGCAGGAGACAAATTTGACCTTTGTCAGCATCAACAAACCCACCACCTTCTTGCGGAAGGTGAGATATTAACTGGTACTTGAAGGAAGTCGAGTGAGCCACGAGGCAGAATTGAAGGAAGCAGTTCCAGGCACAGGGGACCACCAATGAAAATGATCAGAATTCGGAGATGGAGGGTGTTGTGTGAGAAACAGCAAGGAAGTCAATATCACTGGAACGCAGAGTATGTGGGGGTGAGATACATCACAGTCATTTATTGTTATGATCATCTTCATCCCAATCCCTTTGGACAAAAACTAAGCAAAACCAGCCCAGCAGTCATATCTGACAGTGTGTACTACATTCCATATCCATAACCCCTCCCTTCATGTTCTTCACCATCTCGCCAAGAGCAAGATTCATCACTATGATCATGTAGTATTCAGCTTCTACACATCTCTGATCTGAGTTTGTTGATGAATTTCCTGTGCATTCACATCAGCCTTTTTTCTCTTTACTGGAATAATTTATGTTTGTATCTTCATAATATTTTTTAGAGATTTCCTTCATCCCTCTTGGGCTTTCTTTATCTTCAAAATAGTGGGCCACTGGATTTTACCTACCTTTTCCCTGAACACTTTAGTATCTCCCCAAATCTAGGGTGTGTCAGACCATTCATAACTTTACTCTTTCTTTTCTGTCACAAACTGTATGAGGGGAGTGGTCACTCTCTTCCAAGGTTTCTGATAACACACTGTTCCTCCTTGTTGGTCAAAGTTAGCTTTAGAACTGCCGTTGCTTTTATTAAATGCTTCCACTTTTTGAAGGATGGAGTGATCATTAAGCCAAATTACAAATTGAACAGCAAGAGATGGCTATATGGTTATAGTCTTCTTATTGCTGTTATATCCTTTTTCCATGTTTGGTCTGTGATTTGTTTCACACAATACTCATTGAAGATCACTTTCTGTTTGAATGGTATATACTAGTACTGTAACAATGCCCCTTCTCTTTCTGTTTTAGTTGATTCTCATCTGAATGACATCTGCCGTGTTTTTCTCCTCAGGTTCCTCATGAATATTTTTCAGTTATAATGTTACTACCTTTTCCTTTAATCAACACCAGGAATTTTTAGCCTGAGGTCTGTGAACTTTAAAAAATCTTGATACTTATATTTCAGAATGATTGGTTTCCTTTGTAATCCTATGTATTTTATTTTATGCATTTTAAAATATTCCAACAAGGGGTGTCTAGATGTCACCATGCTGCTATTGGGTTCTATAGCACAAAAAAAGGTGAGAAGCTGTGCTCTAGTTTCTTACTTTTGGATGTTTTGCCCTTGATATGTCAAATTCTAGTCAGAAGCCCCATTCCATTTAGGCTTGGTGATATTGATGAAAGTCAAATTTGTCTCCTTGCAGTGAGATTTTATCAATAACTTAGATGAAGACATAATGGTATGTTTGTCAAACTTTCAGAAGATTGGTCCACCCCTCCTGAAGAGGGGTGGAGCCCGCTTCTGGCCAGAAACGTCTAAATCCTCTGGACTTTCTTTATAATAAATTTTCTTGATACTAAAAAAAAAAAACCAAAAAACTTTCAGAAGATACAAAACTGGGAGAGATAACCAATAGGTTGGGTAATTAGGGTCCCAAAACAGAATTAAGGTACAAAAGTATCTCACTAAGTTTGAATTATAGAACAGTTTTAATAAAATGAGATTAAGTAGGGACACATTTTAAATAATTCATGTGTGTTTAAGAAAAATAATTGTACCAGTATAAGATGATGGAGAAATGACTAGAAACCAATTCATTTAAAAAAGAAAAGAGAAAAACTCAGAGGTTTTAGCTGATTGGGCAAATTCAGTATGAGTCAATATTTTGTTGACTGCCAGAAAATTGGATGCAGGCTTAGACTCCATCAGGAGAAGAGTAACATCTAGAATTGATAGAACCACTACTGTAATCAGACTACACTGAGGGTCCTACCTACAGTCCTCATGTCACCTTTCAGAAGAGACATTGGTAACCTCATTGTGTCCAGAGCAGGTTGGCAAAGGTGCTGAAGGGACTTGAAACCATGTTACATGAGGACTGTCACCCTATTTATTGCCCGTACTTTGTGCCATTAGTTTTATTACTCTTTTGCTTCTCATGTATTGTGTACTGAGGCAGCCAGGTAGTGCAGTGGATTGAGTGCTGAGCCTGTAGTCAGGAAAAGCTGAGTTCAGATCTGGCCTCATATGCTTATTAGCTGCATGACCCTGGGCAAGTCCAGTGTGATCCATCTCTTTTCCTCAGTTTCCTCAGCAGCACCTGCTGGCGGGTTGTGAGGATCAAATAAGACAATATTTATAAAGCACTTAGCACACAGCGCCTTGCACATAGTAGGTACTATGGAAATGTTAGCTATTATCATTATCATCATCATTCGATACAAAATGCTTAGCATAGTGCCTAGCACATAGTAGGTGCTATAGAAATGTTAGCTATTATTATTATCATTATTATTATTCTTCATTGTAAAGCACTTAGCACAGTGCCAGGAACATCGTAGGTGCTATAGAACTTTTAGATAATGTTATTATTCATTGTAAAGTGCTTAGTACCTTTGCCTGGCACATAGTAAGTGCTGTAGAAATGCTTATTCCCTTGTGTTCTGTTAGGCCTTAGTCTTCTTTTCTGCTGTTCTTTCACTTATGCGGTACCTGCTTCTGTCTCTGGTACCAAGCTTGTCAAATCTCTGTGGGCAGTCTTCTGTCTTTTGCTTCCTTGTCAGGTTGAAGCCCTCTAGATTACATCTGCTATTCTCTAGGCAAAAGTGTTTTTTACTGAATGTTGTTAGATGCACCCCACACTCAGCTAGGAGCACATAATTCCTATATTTTGAGTCACCCCATCTTCTCAGCCAACTGTACTTACTGAATAAGAATCTAATGGAATATATGTAGTCTGATTGATTTCCTAACTACGTAAAAGGAAATGCCATAAAAACAATATATTAAATACCTAATTATATTCAGAATTGTGTTTAGATCTGTGTACTTACTATCTATATGAATTTGGGCAAATCTCTCAACCTCCGAGGCCCTTAGTTTCCTCATCAGTAAAATGATTGGACTGTATGATCTTTGAGGTCCCTTTAAGCTCTTAATACTGAGGTCCTAAGCTTGGGAATGCTGGAACCAGCTTAAATTACCTCTTGAGACTCAATTGTTAAATTTTCAGTTTGAGCATCTATACCTTAGAAACTGGCAAATGCTACAAATCAAGGCTTGATTTATTTTTTTTGTTGGTAATCTAGACATAAGAAGGTAATGGGAAAAGTGTCAGTAATATAGATTAAATTTAAAAATGTATTGTTGATACTTTATTTTTTTCAGAGAGATGGTTGATAAACATTTACCAGCATACCCCTGGTCCTACATCTCTTAACCTTTCTGAGCCTAACATTTCTTAATATTTGAATTTGGAATAATAATACATGTACCACCTTTCTCACAGGTTAATTTGTAGACATTAAAACACTAAATAACTTAATTATTATTACTATTATTATTATCACATCCTGAAAAATGATTATTTATTTAGGAAGAACTCTTTAAGACATATCATGTGTTTCTTGATATTTTCTGTTTTTTTGGTTGCTTCATTGCTACTATAATGACCATCACCCAGACGTCAGGGCTCCAGCATACTAAAGACCTATACCTTTTATTGATCGAAACAAAACTATTTTTCATCTTGGTCCATTCCTCCACATAACTGAATTCAGAAATTGTTCCCTAAATGTGTTACCCTTTCCCCCATTTCCCAGGATCCAGGTGAGATTTGTTTTCTTTTATGGTTGACTCATTTCTACTCTTATGCTTTAAAGTAAAAGAAGAAAAGAAAAAGATATCGTCTTGTAAATCTTCCACATGTCTCCAAGAATTGAATCACTTTTTCTTTTTTTGTTTACTGTGTAATGCTGCTATACACTTCTGTGGATCACTTTATAGTTTTCAGAATATGTTCACATACCTGCTCTCACTTGAGTCTTACAATAAATCTGTAAGGTTCCTTAGACACATACCTTTTTTTAAGTGGGGAAACAGAGGATATGCTGTCTAATGATTTTCTAGTCAATGACTGATCAAAGAATTGCTCTTTGAGTGACTCTTTGTCCAGAGCTTCAGTCTCAAAGAATGGATATGTTCATGTAGCTTCATTTAGTCATTTATCTATTTATTTATTTGCTTATCAATTCATTCATTCACATGTGTATGTATATATATATGTATGTATCATCTGTTTGTTCATTTATTTTTATTTGGCCAGTTCACTTGCTAAAGGGGAATGGCACGTTGACTTATTTGTTTGTTATCCCTCCCTTGTCCCCACCACCTTGTAACCTAACTTTATTTTTCTTAATTCCTAAGGGTGCTTTTAGCCGTCTTGACCCAACTGGAGCATTTGAAAAAGACATGATTGAGAGAATTCCCTGTGGCCGACTGGGGACTATAGAAGAACTTGCAAATCTTGCTGCTTTCCTGTGCAGTGATTTTGCCTCTTGGATTAATGGAGCTGTGAGCTTGATTTTTCTTGGGTTTTTATTATTTAATAAAAATAACTGAGATGTGATCCTGGGTATGCTAAGTATAAGATTGTTACACACACATGTGTACATATGCACATATGTATGAATATATATGCGTATGTATATATATTCATACATGCATGTGTATATGTGTATGGACACACATAGGTAAACTTAAGAAATCATTTTATTTTAAAGTATTTAAATGTTTTAATATTTTCTCTTTTCAGTCTTCAAAATTAATTCATAATTAGATATTTATGAACACACCTTAATATCATTAAGTGCTATATAAATGTAGGCAATTATGATCCTTACTGGTGTTATATGTGAAGTGTTATGCAAATGTTAGTGATGATGATTGATGATGATGGTGATGTTGATGTCTGTGATCTGGTGTTTCACTTTATCATTACAGATCACATTCCCTCCACACTTTTGTAGACCATCTTTATCACTTGTGGGGGAAAAAAAAGATCACCCAGTATCCGAATTTTTGGTGATGAGCCTATTTGAGCATAGTTATAGTTGGTCCTTAACCACATACATATAGTCTGCTTCTGAACTTGAAGCCTTTTTAACTTGATAGGTCCAGCTAGAGCCTAATGGAAAAGACTGTATTCACTTTATTCCATACTGTTTTTCTAGGTCATTAGATTTGATGGAGGAGAATATGTGTTGTTGTCAGGAGAATTCAACAGCTTACTGAAGGTAATGTTTCCCAGATCTGATATCCATATATTAAGTTACTAAATCTTAGTAAATATCTACTGGATCATATATATTTGTGTTGTTGGTTTTTTTTTTTATGTTAGGTATCCAAGCAGCAGTGGGAAGTATTAGAACAACTGATCAGGAAAACAAAAGGTTCCTAAAGCTGCCCTTATCATAATCCTTTGCTTGTGGAAAACATTGGAGCAAAATACACAGTAACTTCAGTTACATTTTCTTTAATCATTTTATGTAACACAGCTAATAAAAAAATCTTGTCATGAGAGATTGGTGTTTAAATGTCAAGTTTAATTCCAGTCTGTTCTCTTTGAATAATGTGTCCTTGTTATCCTGAGAATGAAAATGGTCTTATAAGTGAATATGGAAAGTCAGGCGTCGTAGCTTCAGTTTTCTAGATAATTTAGGTAGAGAGCACAATCCTCCTTTTGTGGAAATTATCCATGAAGTTGAAATAGGGCTTGGGACCCAAATTACCCAGATTTACTGTCTTAGTAAGATATAGGGTGAGTTGAAATCTGTATCAGTGGAGGAAGTTCCTAAGCTGATTAAATCCTATACTTGATGTATGGCCTATTTCCTTTGGCCATTTCCATGTGACCACTTTCCATTTTATTGTTACTGTATGCACATTTGCCCTTGGTTCAGATATTCCATCCTTAAATTTATATGCATTAGAGTGCATACCAAAGTTCCAGCTTTAACTGGGGTTGTATATAAATACATTCATGAATAGATATGGTTGTGCTTTAAGAACAGTTAGCCTTTGTTTGCACCTCTTAGTCAATATTTAATTTGTCAGTTCTCTGAATATTTATAAATACCTTGCCTCAATTTCTTCCTCCTCATCTACATGCAAGCTATGTTTCTTTACCTACCGATAGATGTCTCTAGCTGTAGCTATGTCACTTGCTGCTAAACTTTGATTTGTAACCTCCATAACACCAAACCCTCTTTTCTTCCTTTTTTACTTGGTCTCTCAGAGATTACTTCATCCCCATATATTAGATAAAAATTGGATTAGGAAACAAAGCTTGGAAAAATGTCAGCTCAAAATCAACACCCAGGATACCCCATGGTATATTTCACCTGTATTGCAAAATTAGAAGCATTTTTTTTTACTCCATACTTTATGACAGGCAATTCTGGTTATGATGACATGAAAATTTTGCCTTCGTTATTTATTATTTATGGCTTTTATTTACATTGGGAAAGTCCTAAATGAAAGGCATCATGGCAAAGTGTCTGGAGTTGGTCTTAGAGTAAGAAGATCTGGGAAGATCTGGGTTCAAGTTTCTATTCTGACACATACTGATTTTATGATCCTGGGAAAGTCACTCAGTATCCATAGCAATTCTCTAAAGTCGTAACTTATGTTGATCTGCATTAGTAGAGGGAGTTTCTCACTGAGAGTTCCCAATACCAATAAAAGCACAGGTCTGATTTTTTTTTTGAAAGAAGGTCCTACATGCCTCTTCTAAGAGTGTGGTTCTAATTAACTTAAAAGAATAAAATATAGTTCTATGAAAGTGGGAATTACTGTTAACAATAACACTAGTATTACCATACCATTGGAATTTCTGTAGCTCATTGTCTATAACCCCTTCATTACAGAGATGAGGCAACAGACCCAGAGAATTTCAATGACTTGTACAAAGATATCTAACTAATTAGTGGTAGACTGGTATTAGAACCCAAATCTCTTCTCCATTATCATGTGGGTTGTTGCAAAATTTCCTAATTTCTTGGTGTAACTCAATGAGAATTTAACAAGGTCTTTTTGATCAATAACATATAAACTAGGTGTTGGGGAAGATTATAGTGGGTTGGTTGGGATTGGTGGAGGTTGGCAAAATATTGATAGTACTGAAATGTTTCTAGTATTATATTTTCTTATGTTAATGTTAGGAGTATTATTATTGTGGGTCATAAACTGAGGCTTGAAAATACATTTATTACAGTAAACTCTGTAATGTTGTTGATTATTGCAGAACTTGATGCAAATATATGCCATTTGTATTCATATTGTATCCATATAGGGCCGCTAGGTAGCACATTGAATAGAGCACCAAATCTGAAGTCTGAAATTATCATCTTCCTGAGTTCAGATCTGGGCACAGACGCTTACTAGCTGTGTGACTCTGGGCAAGTCACTTAACTCTGTTTGCCTCAGTTTCCTCATCTGTAAAATGAGCTGGAGAAGGAAATGGCAAACCATTCCAGTATCTTTGGCAAGAAAACCCCAAATGGGGTCATGGAGAGTTGAACACAACTGAAATGACTGAACAACAGCATTCGTATTGGTCCATAGATACTGTGATACATACACACACACACACACACACACACACACACACACACACACACACACACACACATATATCTTTTCTATTTGCAGTTTATGCTATTTGAAATTGATAACTGTGTATGTATGTGTGGGTTTAAGTACTAGTACAGCTTCTTCCCAAGTATCTTGGTGTATAATATTTTTACTTTTTCATTGGTCTACTGTAATATTATCTTATGGTTTTCTGAACCATAAGCATTATAGCACCAATGAGCAAACTTTTCATCTTAGGGAGTTCTTACCTTGGATTTGGGGGGGGGGTCATTAGAATCTAGGGATAAGGAAGCATAGACCATGAATATAATGGGTATTAATTATTGCTATATATAACTTTTCCATTAGCACTATTCCAGTAGTCTTAACAGACTTTTATTTTAATTATTTTATTCAAAATAATTCACTTTCTTCATTGACAACAAAAATAGAACACACAGTTAGAATGGGATCCAAATGCTTCCTAGAGCGGAGCTTTGTTTTTTGCCTGTGTCTTAAATTTCATCATTATATGGAGCTCCCAGGTAAGGAAACTTCCATTCTACTAATGCAGATTGACACATAATCTGTAACTTAGTTTAGAGTAGGGGTTCTTGACCTGGAGTTCATAGACCTTTAAGGAGTCCATGGTGAGTTTTTGGAGGGTCATGGACTTGGATGGGAAAAAAGTTACATCTGTCTTTTAATATAATTAATTTCCTTTGCAATCTGATGTATTTTATTTTAATTTATTTAAATTAGTTTAAAATAATTATTCTGAGAAAGAGTCCATAGGCTTCACCAGAGTGTGCCAAAGGGGTAAACCCCTTTTGACATAAAAAAATTTTTTTTACATAAAAAATAGCTCTTCCCTTAGAGAGTTGCCTGGGACCCCGAGAAATTCACTAGCTTGTTCAAGGTTACATGGCCAGGAGCTGTTAGAACTGGGAGGTCTTGACCCTGTGTTATCTTGATATATATGATACATACAGTATTCTAACACACAGCTTTCTCCTTCCCTGCTGTGCTAGGTCTATTTCCTAATTCCAGAATTCCATTTATATGTGAAGAGTGCCTTTTTCCTGTCTACATTTCTTTTTGCAAAAGGCTGCTCAGGAGTTAATCTCATGTGGTAGACCCAGTATGTTTTCTAGGTGTTATTGTCATTGTGTACTCTTGAGTTCTTTATAAACAGGCTCAGTGTATCCATATGACTCGACTGTGTAATTTATTCATCTAATTCCAGAAGCCAGTTTCACCTTGATTTATAATGTTAGCTAGGTGGTTCAGTGGACAGAGCACGAGACCTGGAGTCAGGAAGACCTGAATTCAACTCTGGTCTCAGACACTTACTAGCTATGTGACCCGGGCAAGTCACTTAATGCTGTTTGCCTCAGTTTCCCCATCTGTAAAATGAATTGGAGAAGGAAATGGCAAACCAGCCCAATATCTTTGCCAAGAAAACCCCAAATGGGGTCATGAAGAGTCAGACATGACTGAAAAAACGACTGAACTAAATCCTATCAATCAACTAACTTTAGGAATTCCACAAGTAAGCTTAGAATAGGTAGAAAAGGTATCATGTGCCTATTTTAAAAGGTATAAGAAACTTGCGTTCTTATTATTCATGGTCCTCATGAAGCCATGTAAATGATGAGTCTTCTAGTAGATGCCAAGCCCCAATCTGATCCATCCAGAGAATGTTTTAAGAATCCATTATCTTAAAACGTTTGTTATTTTTATTTTTACTCTTTTAAATACAAATCTCCAATAAACTTATCTTGAACTTTAAACTTATATCACATCATATTACCAGAGTTTACTTTTTTGGGGGTTGAACTAGAAAACAGTTCCATTTCTAGACACCTAATTGCCTCATTCCTTTTGTTTTTGTTGGGTGAAAGGACATCTCTTAGGTATTCCTTGCTAGATAGTGGCAAGCAATACATCCTGGCAGAATAATAGGTCCATTAGCTTATTCCTGGATATGATGTGTTACTATTGAATCTTCCTAATGTGAATAGGAGATAAATGTGAGGAACGTCCACATCTCACCATGTTTTTTTAACATGTTAGTAGTTTTAATTTTTTTTAAAGGAAGAGATGGGTAGAAAAATAAGATTACTAGGATGTTACTTATAACCAACAAATTTCATTTCATTTCAGACTATTATAAAGGAATTATATGTATGTTGGTGTATGTGTGTATACATATATCCACACACATATGTATGGCAATCTTTTATATCAAATATATAGTTACATTTTTATTTTCCTTGCTCATACTGGGGACAGAGGTTTGAATGATATAAAATAGTAGCAGAAAATTTTTAAAAATTCATTTAAATTTGATGTTTTGGAATTAAAATTGATGTTTGGAAGTTAGAGATACAGAGGCAGTGAGACAGGCATGGAGACGTGAGAGCACACACTCAGATATTAATCCCCTTTGTGTCTGTCCTAACCTTCAAAGCCTCAGATTTGGTGCTGGATCCAAGTTTGCAGTGGAGGAGATTAGCTATGGCTAATCCATAAAGTTGATAAACTCATGAATAGATAAATGATTGGCTTATATTAACTGGTGTTGACATCACACCTGGCTGTATTGGACCATTTGGAATACTGCTCACGTAAAATTTACAATATTGACCAAAATTCCAATGGGGGAGTATCTATGATATAGTACAAGTGTTCTTAATCTGGGGGACCATCAACCCCCCACCCCCCCACCCCTCCTCCTTCCTCAAATCCGTATGCAGATTTCAGAGGATTTGTGAACTTGGATGGGAAAAAATATTACATCCTTGTTTTCGCTAATTTTTAACTGAAATTAACATTTACTTCAGTTAGGAATTTTTAAAAAAGTTGCTCTGAGGAGTCTGTTGTTTTCACTGGAGTGCCAAAAGGGTCCATGACGTGAAAAAAGTTAAGAAACCTGGTTTAAGGGATAAATACCATAGGACCATTGCAGTAGAATTGCAAGGGACCTCAGAAGCCATATAGTCTCATTTTTATTTTTACAGATGATGGAACTGATTTAACCTTGCTATAAAATCCCAGTTTCTGTAAGAATCCTTTCCTGATTCCCCTTAATGTCACTGCCTTCCCTTGGAGATTATATTCAATTTATCCTGTTCATGAGGTTACTAGTTACTATATATCTGCTTCGTAAGTAGTTTGCATGCTGTCTTCCCCATTAGAATGTGAGCTCCTTGTGGGCAGGGACTGTTTTTGCCTTTTCTTTCCCCAGCCCTTTGCACAGGTGCTTAATAAATGCATGTTGACTTGCCTGTAATTACAGAAGTACTAAGTGGCAGAGGTGGGATTTGAACTCGGGTCCATTGCTCTTTCTACCTTACCAGATTGCCCACCTGGTATTCCCAGGGAACTGATGAGGCATCAGTCCTTTAATTTTCTTAGCAGTTATAATCCCTGAGGTTTTAAACAAGAGTTTTTTGGTTGAGGGCTGGTATAAAAACAGTCCATCTGTTATTACTAAGATGTAAAACATCTTAGTCTGGATTGGTCATAGAAAGTCAGACACTTTATAGACGGAACAAAAAACGACAAGGTGAGTCTATTTCCCCCTTTATTTGCTCTTAATAATTAAAATCAGCCTAAATTCAGTGTGTTCATGTACACACTGAGAACAAAGCTTATCTACAATTCATTTAAACAGTTTGGTGAATGGTATCTCTTGGTAGATCTCTTTACCTTTTTTTAACTAAGTAACAGCACGCCTGTTTTGCTTCATTTAGATAAAGGGAAGAAAGAATCAGTTGAAATATATGGAATCCAGAGCCATCACTGATTATCTTCTCTGCATATACACCTTTATGTTTTCTCTACAGATAGTTTTTTTTTTATCCTTTCGTTAGATCTGCCTCATGATTAGAGAATCAAAAGGCAGATGCTGTTAAGGTCCAACAGTAACCACCAGAGATTGGTCCAGTTAATGTTATGTGATATTGTAAACCAGTTATGGGTAAAATAATATGCTAGTAAAGTTCATCTTGTTAATAACGTAATTGAAAGGAAATAAATCTTCCCTTCAGATAATAGTATTTTTAACTCATTTTAAGCACAGTATACAAATAGAACTCAGACTATTTTGAATGCTGATTTCACAAGATGGAATATAGAGCCTGTGGCATAAACCAGAATATTGACAAGTTAACATTTAACCATTTTTTAAACATGAACCTTTAATTAAAAGTCAGTTACCTAGTAAAATAATTGTTAGAGCTAGGAAATATTTTCAGAGGCAACAGAGACATTTGTTGAAGATGATACCACCTTTAGATGAAGAAAATGCAAGAAGTATGGAAAACTAGACACCAGGGTACTTAGTATATTAAATTTAATTACAAGTTACACAGACTATGATGTAAAAACGGCAGTTTACTAGAATAGTTATAATATGCAACGTGAAAATAGTTTAGAAAATGGATTAGGCTCATCTACGTTGATGGCAAGCTTGGTGAGAAATACATTTACAGAATGAGACAGATCCGTGTTTCTACCCAAGTGCCAACTTTTCTCACCTTGTCACCAAGTTAATTGGGACCAAGAGTTTGATGAAGAAAGCTTTATGTGGTTGGGTATTTCAGAACAATGTAAATAGAGTGTACGTTCCAGTAGATTGTAAACTCCTTGAGGCAAGGACCATTTTTCGTTTTGTATTTTTAGTACCTAACAGTGCCTGGCACAAGCTCCCCCACTAGACTGTAAGCTCCTGGAGGGCAGTGACTATCTTTTGCCTCTTTATATTCCCAGCACCTAGCACAGTGACTGGCATATAGTAGGTACTTAATAAATATTTATTGATTGATTTGGTTTTTTAAAAAATTTTCATAAGTGCTAATTGTATTGAATAAATACAGTGTTGTCATGGATTCTATTCCACAGAATAGATGTGTTGATTAATTCCTTTCTTGCTATGGCTGCATGGAGGTATAAGTAATTAGTAATTAGATATTTATGTTTCAGTGAGTGATTTTGCTCTAAGAGCATTTTCTTCCCTATGACTGGATATGGCATATAAATGCTTTGGGTGTCAGACCTGTGATCCCTCCTAAAGTAAGGCTTCCCGGTCCATTGTATGCAATGCTTCTGATTGGGGAGAAACATGAATTGAAATGGCAGAGGATGATTTTCACAGAATAGCTCTAAGCTGCTTTTTTTTTCTTTTTGAAATCTTGTCCAACTATATTTCAGAAAGCAAGAGCAATTTTAGGTGGTTTTATTGAATTTACAGACTGACCCAGACAGAGACATTCTTCTTATCGATTGATCATAGAGTTACAAAAACTGTACATTACAAACAGTATAGAAACAAACTGAAAAGAATGTGCCACACATCCTGGATAATCATCTATATGCAGGTAAATTTACAGATATAAAAGAAAGTACAGCCTACTCCCTTAATAGTGCACAGTTATTATATAGATACAATGTATCACTAGTGACTGAATGTAATTGTGGGTCTCTAGTTGTCATCGGCACAGAGGATGAGAGCCAGATCTGTTCGGTACAGCTTGCCGCCATCTGACAAAGCCATGATGCTTTTTTTGTATGTTGAAATGTTGTTAACGTCCAGGTCCTGCGCAGGGAACACACACTTCTTTATCAATGCCAAAGCCAATGAAGTTAATGAAAAGTGAAGACAACTTTTTTTTTGAACATTAGTCTATTTAAAGGGAAATTATACTCCATCCTCATATAAATAGAACTAACAAGAATTATTTCTCTAAATCAGTGATTCTCAAAACTTTTTCATCTCAATTCTCCTTTACATTTTAAAAAATTATTGAAGGCTCCATTATTAACCTTTTGTTTTCTGCGTTATTTCTATAATTATCATCAGATGAAAATAATTTTGACTTTGTGGACCCTCTGAAAGGGTCTCAGGGACAATAGGCACTGAGGAGGGGTTCTTGGAAGACCACTGTATTAAGCTACTAATGAAACCCTGTGTTGGTTCAGAGCAACAGCTCAATACATTTAGAACTTTGTAAATATATCTCTAGTAATGATGTTTATCCAACAATTGCTTCTCAGTGCTTTATTTTAACTGAGTGGACTTGAAAAAGTCTTTAAAGAGCTAGGATAATCAGTGGATAAATTACCTGCTTGTTCTTTTCGCAGAGATCTTTCAGTAAAGCATCTAACTCATTTTCATCTATGTATCCATTGCCATCCTGAAAGGGGGAAAAAAAGAAAAAAATACAATCAACCTTGGCTTATCTACAATTATATGAGCTAAGGTTTACCAAGCCAATTGACATCTATAGCCCTATCAGGTCAGTATGGTAGGTAGAACAGATACAAAACTGATACAGGTAGTAAGTGATTTGTTCTGTCTGAATAGCATAATGGAAGAGTTAGCACTACAACTCAGAGAGTATTAACAAAAAGGAAGGAAGGAAATGAGAAAAAAAAACAAAAAAACCCTCAAAGGACCAGAATAAGAAGCCCTTGAATAACAAAGAATAGGTTACATGTTTATTTTTTATCTTTATACCTCTTAATCTGTGAATTACTGTTTCCTAACATACGTTTTCAAAATGTCTTTCAACAATCAAAGAAATAGACAGTGAAGACAAGTTACCTGATCATACAACTCAAAAGCTTTATTGAACTCTTTTCCACACATTTTGACTCCCTAGAAAACATGGAAAATGTTAGATTGAAGATTATATTAAGATGCCAGATTATTGCATCACATGTTAATATCCTTTATTTCGAAACTCTACAGATTTGACCTTTAACAAGACAAATGCAATTTAAAAGTTATATACCTGAAATTTAAGCAGGAAATTCTCTTGTACTGGTAGCAACCTTTGGGTTAAAAAAATTGTAGTGTTAGGTTTTTTTCTTTTTAGGCAACAGTTGATGTGAAACTACATCTGTAGAGTTCATAAACTTACCTAGCCATTTCAGTTAATTCCAGCTTTCCATCATTGTTGGAGTCAAACATTTTCAGCTGAAAGACAGTGTCATGATTATAGCTATTAAATAGCACATTTGTTGCATTGAGAAAAAGAAAATTTAAAGTAGAGTGAAAGCTGAGTTGCAGGCACTTTATCAGCAGCAAAGTTCTAGAAATCAGCATTTCTGAAATCTTCCATTACAAACATTTCAGACACTGGCATGGATCTGAAGCTAACTGAAAGACTAATCAAATAAATGGTATAGTATTATATAAAGAGAGTGCCTGGGCTCTGAGGTTAGAAGCCAGAAGCCTGTATTGCAGTTTCCGCTTTACTTATTTGACCTTGAAAAAGCCACCTTTTTTCTGAGCCTCATTTTCCTGTAAAATGAGATTGGGTTAGGTCAAATTTAACCTTTGGCAGTCTGGTAAAGCTTATATATCCCTTCTCATAAGAATGTTTTATTGAAGGAAATGTTAAATTTCAATTAGAAGTTAATGAAAATAATGATGCTTTTTTTTTTTGACACAAGTTAATCCCCTTCCCTCCTCCCATCCCCAGGTTAAAAACCTTTTGTGATAGATGCTTTCTAAAGTTCTTTATAGATCTTTCTAGCTCTAAACCTAAGATTTACTATTTAGTATTCTTACTATTCTGGTGTGGTTTTTTTTTTGGGGGGGGAAGAGGAAAAGGAGGGGGGAGTTCAATATTTGCCCCCAGGGCTTTCCCATGTAATGGTATGTCAGTAAATATTGATTTATCCTTTCATGAAGAGGAGTGAGGGTAGCAGTAAGAGGAGCAACATCAATTATGAATATGTATAAATATATTTATAATTTGGAACATCATGCAAAAGGTATTGCTGTATGTGTTTTTAAGGGAAGGGAAGTAATTAGGATTGGACTGAGAAAATCAGCTTTGTCACCACATTTTAGGGAGAGTAGAAAGGGCAAACTCTAATTAAGTTGGGGTATTTTTAAGTGTAACTGGGCCATTAGCAGAGATCCTTGATTGGTGTCATACTTCTATAGCAGGGGCATCTTAACCCTTTTTTGTGTGTCATAGATCCCTTTGGAGAGCTGATGAACCTATTGACCCTTTCAGACCCGTTTAAATGAATAAAATACATGGGATTACAGAGGAAACCATTTGAATCGAAAAAGTTATCAAAATAAATTAAAAAAAATTTCATGGACCCTAGGTTAAGAACTCCTGGAATTAATATCTGACTTTTAAGAACTTTTTTTTTTGTCTTTGTTGTATTTTATTAATTTTCTTAAAGACTTCCCAATTACATTTTAATCTGGTTCAGGTCACTCTCAGGAGTTTTGTGGGCTGGAGTTTGATACCTTTCTCTTAAGGTGAATTGGGATATGTGTGTAGAGGTAGAGAGACTTTTCATTTTGCTTTTTATTCTTTTATATTCATCAACCACAATTTGTCTAATCATTGCTCCAAATGATCAGCACCTACCAATGTTTCCATTTATTTGCTACCACAAACAAGTGCTATGAATATGTATATGGAACCTTGAGAAAGACTGCTTGTTCCCTGCTAATACCATCATTAAGGATAACCTTGATTCCTGTATAGATGATTCTCATAAAGATTTTGTATACATGAGAGAGTAGGCAGATTGATCAGTAATTGATGTATCTTTAGTGGTATTTTTCTGAAATTATTAAGGTCTGAGATTTTTTTTGGCACGCTTTTTGTATCTTCCATTTCTTTAAATATCTTATATATCAATGTTTTATAACCCTCATAATTATCTTACCTCTAGTATGGATCATATGCACTTAGTACAATTTGGATGCTCTTCCCATCTTTGGAAAGTTTTCTTCCCCCTATTTTTATCTTCGTAGCACAAAGCTATGATGAGAACCTTTTTTTTTTTAACTTCAATCCAATTCACATTTATCAAATGTGTACTACCTGCAGTATGCTATGCTTGGTGCCTGGGATAGAAAAATGAAACCATACATGCATGGCCCCTGCCTGTACAATCTAGTAGGAGGAAAAGGTTAGACAAGTTATAATATGCTACGTATATAGGAGAGGTTCGAACAGATTGCCTTGGGAGATGTAAGGAATGGAAAAGTTATTGCTGGGGGTAATTTGGGGAAGTTTGTTGGAGGAGATTGTTCCTGAACTTGTCCTTGAAGGAAGAGAGGATTTCAACAGGTGGAAATGTGTAGGGAGACTGTTCTGGTCATGGGAAAGTCTTCACAAAGCCACAGAAATAGGAAAAGACAAGTCCTCTAATCTAATTTGGTTAGGAAATGTCAGTGTGAAGGCAAGTGAGACGTGAACAGAGCATAAAATGTAGGCCAGCCCCCAGAATGAATATCAGACTACTTTTTTTTTTAACTTCTATTTTTTATAGCTCCCTAGAAGAGGTCTAATAATGGTCACAGTCTCCTACCTTGGACAAGTAGATCAGAATTTATTGTCCATAGGGAAATATTTCCCAAAATATACATTTGTTTTAATTAGTTCTTGATTAATTTTGCTTACTGAATCTGAACTGGTTTATGACACTAAATAAGATATGCCAGGCCATTACAGCAGGGAAAAAAAAATCCCATTTGAATGATACTTTTTTTTTTTAAAGGCCAGTCTCAGATTCTACCTGGCAAGGAGTCCTTACTTTAAATAGACTTCACTTAGAACTGGAACAAAATGGGAAATTAATAATTTTAGGTGTTTGATATTAACTGAGTTACTCATAGAGTAAATTTACCCATCATGACACCAAAAAAGATAATTTTCCCTATTTGAATTTGAGTGGGTCATGCTTAATGAAGGTAGAAAAAGATTTATTTTTTTTTCCTCTGGGTTCAGTGAGACTCTTATGTTAAGAAACACTTTTTTTTTTTAAATGCAGCAACCTACTTTATAAGTAATTTTATGGTGAACAGTATCAGAGTGGGTCCCAAAAGAGTGTGAATAATGACTCCCCCAAAGTAGTCTCCTGTTTTAAAATATGCACTATTCAAAGTTATAATTATGTCAAATATGGTAAAAGTTCCAACCCAATGAAACTATGCTTGGTGAATTAGAATAACATGGCCACTTTAGGGGAGTCATTATTAGAAACTAATTGAGATCTAGTTATATTTTTCTTGGTGTTAGATAAGCCAGAATAGGACTTTGCTTACAGCAAATATAAGTGGAACTCCTTTTAAAAGACAAATGTTAGGGTCCTATAAAAGAGCAGCAGGAGTAACACTTGCCTAAAAGGCTGACCGTTATAAGAGAGAGCTGTGGTATAGTGAAGAATGTATGCTCTGAAGACCTAGGTTTATTTTTTTGCCTCTGCCTTGAAGTGCTGTGTTTCTTGGCCTCAGCTTCCTCATATGGGGTGCATTACCTATCTCACAGAAGTATTGTGATGTATGTTGTATAGAAAATATAATTCATAAAGCACCCTATAAGTGACAGCTAATCTATATTCCTTTTATCTATCTGGGGAGATATATTGAGATCCATGTTTTTATTTTATTTTTTTTGTTTTTTGGTTGGGCAATGGGGGTTAAGTGACTTGCCTATGGTCACAAAGCTGGGAAATGTCTGAGGCCAGATTTGAACTCAGGTCCTCCTGAATCCAGGGCCGCTGCTCTATCCACTGTGCCACGTAGCTGCCCACAAGATCCATGTTTTTAGAAGTCATATTTTAGGGGCAGCTAGGTGGTAGAACAGATAGAGTGCTGTACCTGGAGTTAGGAAGACTTGAGTTGAAATCTAGCGTCAGAAATTTCCTAGCTATGTGACTGTGGGAAAGTCACTTGACCTCTGTTTGCCTCAATTTCTTCAACTGTAAAAAAGGGGATAATAATAGTATCTATCTCCCAGAGTTGTTGTGAAGATCAAATGAAATAATATTTGTAAAGCGCTTAGCACAGTGCATGGCACATAATAAATGCTTTATTATTATTAGCTATCAGTATTATTAGAGGCCTAATAATACGATGCACTATTTAATTGCCTGCTTTAAATTTATAAAAATTTACACAAGAACTCTCTGATAAGTCAGAACTTTTCATTTGGGAAAATAGCTGTTGTGAAGAGGATGAGAATTAAAATCAACAAACATTTATTAGGTACCTACTATGTGCAAGTTCCTAGAGATACAAAAAAAAAAAAGGAAAAAGAAACAGCCCCTGCTTTTAAAGAAGTTACATTCTACTGGAGATGGGGTAGGGAGGAGGAGGGAAGATATGTATTGTTATATCCTATCTGTCTATTCACCTATCCATGTATCTATCTATCTATCTATCTATCTATCTATCTATCTATCTATCTATCTATCTATCTATCTATCTATATCATACAACTAAGCAGATTTAAATTATATAGAGAAGTCAAGACTAGTGAACTGTGTATTATAACCAAATTATCTTCTATACCAAATGCCTGCTAGCCAGTTACATTTTCAGAGGTCCAAACAATGTCCTGTTTAATAGAAGAGTTAATAAATCTTCCATGGGCCACTTATGTGGGTCAGTTTGTTTTTCGATCTCTTTACCCAGAACTGAAAAGCAGCCATTTCTAGGTAACCCATCAGAAGCATTGCATAGCCATACAAGACTTATAGTATAGAATAAGGGAGAAGGAAAGATGGAGAGCATATCTAGTCTCATATAATTAAAATAAAGTGGTACCTAGAATGCCTCTTCTGACTCTAAAATTCTAATATTCCTAACCCAAAATTTGATTAGGAAACACTTAAATAATTACATAACTTTGCTGAAATGGGTATACTGACTTAAAAATAACAATTGACCTTTTTTAGCCTTCTGGAAGAAAATAAAGTTCTTTTGGAGCAAGAGTTTTTATACCTTTTTTGGGGGGGTTATGAATCCTTTAGCTATCTGGAAAAGCCTATGGACCCCTGTCTCTGAACAATGTTTTTAAATGCATAAAATAAAATATGTTGGGCTAGAAAGGAAGCCAATTATATTGAAATGAAGATGAAATTTTTTCCATCCAAGTTCATGGACACCCTGAAATATTTAGGGGTCCACATATCCCAGGATTAGAACTCCTTTTTTAGCAGCAACACTGCTACTTCTCTGGTTTGCTTATAATCAAATGAGGAAGAAGAAACTTAGTGAACATCTGGGTCACTACTTAGAGAAGGGCAATGATGTGTGCATTGCTGACTGCTTTGGGAGTGACTGTGAATTCACCAAAAACAAATAATGCAAATCTAATGACATTTCACATCCTTTGGGATATAATATTTTGGAAGTCCATCTTACCATCAAGTCTGTATATTCAGCTAATTTCGTGTCATCAAAAGTCTTGTTTGCTTTCTCTAGCAAGTCCTTTAGAAAGTTCTGTTAAGAAAAAAGAGACCCAGGTAAAGCAAACCAGTTACAAACATCTTCATGACAATATTTCTGAAAGTTGAACATAGTGAAGCTGCCCTAGGATGGGGGCAGAAGGACAGGTGAAGAAGCAGAAGAGGAGGGAAGAATTCCATAGCTTGAGACCAACTTATGTTGGTGCTCTTTTGGAATTTCAGCATAAACTCTCCCAGATGAATGGAGTCCAGGACTTGTCTTACGCTGTATCATGGGAATTATTGTGGAATAGTGGAAAGAATATTGGTTCTTGAGTTGGAGGACTTGAGTTCAAATCCCACTTTGGCACTACCTGTGTGACCTTGAAAAAACACTCTACATCTCATGGCCTCAGTTTCCTTATCTCTAAAATGGAGAAGATATCCTCTTTGGTCCTTTCCAGTCATATATCTATAATTCTGTGAAATCTAGAACAATTAGTATTTTTGTATTTTCCTATTTTCTCTGAATAATTACTTCAATGAAATCAGTATTTTATTTAAATTTTATTTTGAAAGTCTGAGGGAGGAAATCTTTTGAACTAGTCTAATGATAACTATAGTGCTACCTAGTGAGAGGTCTATAAATATTTGAATTTCTCTTCTGAATGAGATACAGGGACAGCTCAGTGCCATAGTTGAATACCTTTTTCTTTTTTTTTGCTGGAGGGAACAATTATTAATACTTAAAAGGAATAACAGATATAAACAAATACCCCCAGATTTGCCCATGTTTAGCTAATCCTACAAAGGCCTGGAGTTGCAAAGACAATTCCCCATGAACTCACACCAGCCAATTTATAATTGCCCTCACCCAAGGGCTGCCTCTGCTCAAGCATCACCACATCACTTACTACCACGATAATGGCAAATTTCACAAGAGATAAAGTCAGGTTAGAATGACACAAGTCCCTCCTTGGCAGTAGCATAGAGCAGAATGTTCAACAGAATTCATTACACATGAGGCAGCTTTATGCTTGGAGGATATATGAATCATAATCAAATAGATATTAATGTGGGAAAGATGAAAGAGCGTGATTATTAAATTGGCAGTTGGAGTGAGGGAGTATCTATTTTTTTTGAAAGAGGGGATATGAAGGCTTTAGAGAAGCTTGCCATAGTCATAACAAAGCAAGTATTTAAAGATATAATAAGCTTCCATTTCCTTTAATGATGTTTATTTCCAGTATCTTAACTTTATATCTTGAAAACTAATGAAATCAATGACAAATATAGGTGAAATGAGCATTTATTGTGCATGCAGATAAGTGTTCCATTTGCCCTATACATGTATGGAATTCGTTACTGCCCTCAAAAACTCACTGATTTTGTTGATTATCTTGATTTTATCCTGTCAGGGCAGAAAGCCACTTTACCTAGTTTCAGAAGTTTATTCTTATCTTAAAATTCCACTTCAGAAGCCAACTGAGGCATGAAAAGCTCAAAGGTGTCTACTGGAAATAAATTTGTATTTTTCTCAGTGGAGTTTTGGTGCAAGATTAATTGGGTTAAGGAATCTAATGAGAGCTAATGTAGTTGTCCCAAGAATAGCCTGGGAGAACACGTGGGACTCTGAGGTATCTTGCAAAAGATAGAGATAGATAAAACCCTGGCAATTGTGGAACTGAAAATGAGCTTTCTAGAGATGTGTCTCTCTGTCTCTCTCTCTCTCCCCCCCTCCCCTCTCCCTCTCTCTCTCTTTCCCTCTCTGTCTCTCTGTCTCTCTCTGTCTCTGTCTCTCTGTCTCTCTCTCTGTCTCTGTCTCTCTCTGTCTGTCTGTCTGTCTCTCTCTCTCTCTCTGTCATAGATTCTTGAAAGATTGAAGAGGTCTCAATATTCATGTAGGCCAACCCATACCACTCAAAAAGAAACTCAACATACTCCATAAGTAGTCATCCAGCCTTTGCTTATAGACCATCAATTTAGAGGAATCCATCATCTTCTGTGGCAGCCCTTTCAATTTTTGGATATCTCTAAATACCAGGAAGTTTTTCTCTGATATCAAGCCCAAATTTGCCCCTTAGCAATATCCATATTCTTCAGAGAAGAAAACTCCTGTTTAACACCTTTTTTTGAAGGATAAGACTTAAGGCAACAGAGGCAACAGATTTTTGTTGTTATTGTTGCTATTCAGTTGTGTCTGACTCTTCAGAGCCCCATCTAATGTTTTCTTGGCAGAAATATTGGAGTGGTTTGCCATTCCCTTCTTCAGCTCACTTTACAGAGGAGGAAACTGAAGCTAACAGGGTTAAGTGATTTGCCCAGGGTCATATCCAGATTTGAACTCATATCTTCCTGACCCTAGGCTCAGCACTCTATCCACTGTACCACCTAGTTGCCCTTAACAGATCTTTACAGTACTACCAAGTCAGGAATGGGTATGAGTTAAGAGTAAACTTGAATAATCCTATAAGTACTTGTTAAGTGCCTACAATATACTGGGCTTTATGTGGGATGCTAAGGTTACAGCAGCCAAAACAAAAACAGTTTCCTGAAGGAGGGGGCATGAGCTAAGCCTTGAAGGAGTCTAGTGATTCTAAGAGAAAGATGTTAGGAAGGACTGTGTTACAGGCATGAGGTGTCTGTACAAAGGCAGAGAGGCGGGAGGTGGATCCCATCTCTAAAGTCCCTTTCAGCTTGAAAAACGTATCAATGTATATAGGGCAGAAAGCATAAAACCTATTTGTCTTGGATGATTTAAAATAAAAAAAGCTTCCTTAGTGCATTTCTACATAATAGGAAAAGTTCACTACATTATCCCAACTTTTCAGATATAGAGAAGTACCTTTCTGATTCATTTTTTAAAAAAAATTTTTAATATTTAATTAATAAGAATTTATTTTTTTTCTCTCTCTCCCCCTTCCCTCCATAAACCCCTTTAAAAAGAAAACAAAAACCTTGTAATAAATAGAGATAGTTAAATAAAATAAATTCCCCCATCGGCCCTGTTCAGAAATATATTCCTTGCTTTGCATCTTGAATCCATGACCTGGAGGTAGGTAAAGTAGCTTATCATCAGTCCTCTGGAATCATGGTTGGTCATTGTGTTAATTAGAGTTCTTATGACTCGAACCACAGTGAAATTAGGAGAAAACAATATTGGATGGTCATACTCCTTTCTCCGCCCCAATAGAAATGGGCCATCATTAGTGATTCTTGAAGATTTTCTTAGTGTTTCTTATTCAAAAGATAAAGAAAACATGGTTGTCTAGATTGAGGACTCTTGATATCCATATAACTATTCAAAAATAGTTCTTTCATATTTTTTAGTTACTAGTAAATGATTGCATTTCGTATAACTATAAGATCTGTGTTAATGAATTTATTCAAAAGTGCAATTTTCCTAAAGTTTGGCCCAAATTTTAGAGATTTTTTTCTGGGGGGAGAGGGAAGTATTTACAGAAAAAAATGTTAAGTATATAATAATGTAAGTATGTAAATTCTCAAGTTACAGATACAATATTAGTAAGTGTGGCCTAGTGGGTCTACATATGTGATTCAGATGTATTGCTAGTCTGCATGCGGGACCTGTGCAAGGCATTCAGTTCTTGAAGTTCTTCAGTTAGTTTGAGAAATAAACCCTAAAACAACAATTTTTATCATTGTAGTAATGGGAAAGGGGATCTCAGGAAAAGACTTTCATTTCTATTCTCTAGCACTTATTGCAGATGTGAAAGAAGAGGTTAAAATAAGATTTCTTCACTATTTTTGTGTCATTGGCCTCTTTGTCAGCCTGGTGAAGCCTATGGACCCCTTCTCAGAGTAACGTTTTTAAATACGTAAGACAAAGTGCATAGAATTACAAAGGGAACCAATCATAAATATTTTATAAAAACAAGTTCCTAGGCTTCAGGTTAGGAACCCTCAGGGGAAAAATGCACCATTGGCTAGCAGCAGTTCATACAAGGATTGCCCCACCGCGACCCCATATTATATCTTTAGCCTTTCAGAATTATGCTAGAAAGGAAACTAGTTCACATTTTCATCACTTACCTTCAGTTCCTCAGTTTCTATGAAGCCACTATGATCAGTGTCATACTTTCTCCATGTCTGAAAACAATGATGGCACAACCATTTGAGTAAAATAATTATAATCATAATGCTTGACATTTATGTCACGTTTTAAGATTTACAAAGTGCAAATACATTCCTTTGTTCCTTAGAACAACCAACCATTGCATCATTTACATTTAGAGCTGGAAGAGACCTTAGAGGTGCAACCTCTTCATTTTACAGAGACTCAGAGAGGTTAAGTGACTTCCCCCAAGGTCACACAGTTAGTAAATATATGAAGCAGAAATTGCCTGTACTTAGCACCTTGTCATGTAGTAGGTGCTAAAATGTCTATTGATTTTTGATCTTGACAATTTCCCCTAAAGGGGCTTTTCCTGCCTCCCAGTACCTGCATGAATTCCTCACATGACTTCAGCTGCTGACATCTAAAGAGAAGCAGGAAGTTCTCTTCCGTTGGTAATACATGAGCCAACTGTAAAAGATCAGAAAGGAAGTTATGGGTGTTTTAAGAAACTTGAGAGTAACACTCTTGCTTGAGTTGCTAGAATAATACTTTGCACCTATATGGCATTGTAAGATGTGTAAAGCATGCTCTCACAGCAGCTTGTAAGATAGGTGATACAAACATCATTCCTGTTTTACAGGTAAGGAAACTTGCCTGGGATGCACACAGCTAAAATGGTTCAGAGTCAGTATTGCAACCAAGGTTCCTCTTTTTTTTAGGTTAAATATTCTCTCCAATATGCCTGATGCTTTTCTTCCCAGAATTAATCTGACTAGCCAGAAATACAGGAGATGGAAAAAATTGTTAATATCTACTTCTTTTTTGATATGTTGCTCTAGGAATATTATTAGTATTGTTTGGAATGTTTACCTATGCCACTAGCAATTTATTCCAAACCTTTTCTTTTCAGTGGTTAAAAAGTGGCCTATGCAAAAATTATTTTTCTGCCTAGCCATACATGCTATATGCTTTATCCTTATTCTTTTAAATTATGTTGGGTGTGGGGTGGAAAAGGAAAGACAGAAAGAGACAGATAAAAAAGGAGATAGAGCCTTATACCTTGGTGTATTTTAGTATTAATTATCTGGTACATAAACCAATAGGTGCCATCAGAGATATTCTGTACCCTTTGTGCTAGAAGTATTATACTACCAACATCATCCCCCATCTTTCTTTCTGTCCCCAACACAATCTGGGCTATGCACTCTTGTTTCTGACAAGTCAAGAGGCAGAGCGAGACACAACAAAATAATTTTCCTTCATATGTGAAAATGAGAGACCAAAGCCTCATACATAAAGTTATTGAATACTTTATTCAAGAAGAAAGTTAAGAATCATTGGACATGACAAGCCCCAAATGGCACCAGAAAAAAAAAAGAAATTGGTTATACTTTAATAAGCCAGAAATGACCATTTACCTAGGTCAGTCATTTCCAAATCAGCCATCTGTGTGCCATTGAACCACTGACTTGCTAAAGCAAAGTGAAAAATGTCATATTGAAAAAATGGATGAAAATTAAGGAGGAAGGTATTGTTTATGATTGAAATAGCTTCAACTTAATCTATTTAAACAAGTTGTTAAAAACAAAAATGGGAAATGGAAAAAAGATCAGAATTGAAACAAACTATCATAATTTTCGCAGGAAGTTTAACCAATGTAAATTAGTCTCCACAATGAACAGAACTAAAAAGCCTGGACACTGCCTCAACCAGCAGACTCTTGGGTTCTTTGTCGAGGCATGGCAACACTGGTTCATAATGTAGACTCTTTTGTAAAATCATATAGAGCACAATAGAGCAAGATTATGAGCAGTATCACCTCATGAAACAGTAAGAATCTGTGAAGGGAAAAACAAGTTCACAGAAAAGAAAAGAAAAAAAATCCAGTTAAACTAGATTATCCTGGAGGTGAAACTAGAAGGAAGACAATGAGCGTACCTCAACAGGGAAGATATGTAAAGATTTCTTTAATGAACCCTTTTCTCCACTGATGATGGTGGATTCTAATATCACAATCTCTAACATGTTGCATGAGGAAGGAGAATTGGCCCTAAAGGTAATAAAAATGGGAAAAGTAGCCAAAATTATGTGATAAGATGTGGTGAGTAGAAGTGGATAAAGTTGGGGGTTGGTGGTGACATAATTTTGATGGTGCTGAAATATTAATTCTCAAGTTATTTGGAAGAAAAGATACTAAATTCTTAGGAAAAATGATGGAGTTTATGAAAAAAGAAACCAAGAAAATATCAACAGCTACTCATCCGTATTTTATTTAGTATAATCACCACACACACATTGAGGGTATCCTTGATGAAGGTATGAAAAAGAAATAGGCAGACTTTTTCAGACAGTATTCTACAGTTCACAACAACTTATAGTCATAAAGCTGACTGAAAGGTATAGGGAACATAGGATTCCCACCTGTGTTTGTTGACTATCAAAACAAATTTGATTTGGTATAGCAAAATGCTGCCTTAAACACTCTCCAACAAGATGTCTCATGAATATGTAAAACCCATACAAGAAACAATATTTTAAAAACTATCCTCTAATTATTAGTATTAAATGAGGCCCCAAACAGAGAGATGTGTGCTTGCCACAGCTGTGAAAAGTATCTCAGTCAGTCAGTTAAGCGTTTAAGCACTTACTATATGCTAGGAACCATGCTAACTACCACAGGTACAAAGAAAGGCAAAAACATGATCCTTGACCTCAAGAAATTGATTGGGGAAACACAAAATGCAAATAACTAGATACATAAAGATATATACAGAGTAGATAAATGGTAAACTCAGAGGAGAAGCACCAGCACATATCTTGTCACAGAATCCAAATGTAAGAGGGATTCCTAATAAGTGAAATAAATTATTCTCTAGAGCTCTGTTTGCAGAGTGTCAGCAAGAATTCAGCATCTACTAGACATCCCTCTTCTATTTGGAGTCTGTGTGAAACATGAGATTACATAAAACCTCTTAAATGAGATGAACAATTACTCAAAGGAGTTTGTGATTTTATATATATACATATATATATATATACACATATATATATATATATATATATATATACACACATACATACTTATCTCCAAGTGGCTGAAAAATGCTATTATTTGCATTGCTCTTCAGGTGGATGAATAACCCATATTTCTGGTCCATTATATATCTTGGCCAGACATTGTAGAAAGAAAATTAGTTGGGTCCAGAAATGAACAGAAGGAAAGTAGGTTGGATTGTTTTTGGGAATTCGTTCAGTACTTTTAATAATCCTGAGTTTCTTCTTGAAGCAAAGGCTTGTCTTTTTGACATTAGAATTCTTCTGGTAATATTGTATGACTGTTAGTCTTTTAACAGTTTTACCCCAAAATGTCTCATTAACAAGACTTTTCCCTGTCTCTAGTATCTCCTTGAACATATTAGAGATGACACAATTTTATCATCATAGTGTTTGAAAAATTAATGTTGAGTGTCGCCCAAGGGGCAATGGCGAGATGCATGGTGGGTATGAGTAGGCTATGATATATTACTAATGAATAGTGATGAGCTGAAGCAGCATAAAATATTTCATTACAGAGCTGTGTGATGTAAAAAGAGGCAAGCTGATCATGTAGTAAAAATGAGGGATAACTAATAAACATTCCATTCCTTTGGTATCAATACCATTTCAGGAGATTTAGAGAAAAGCACCTAGAATGGTGGATGGAAATCTCTATGAAGGATTTGGGTGAGAACATAGACAGACAGTGTTCAGGTTGGGAAAACATGGATATATTGCAATATTTACTGTGGAAAGGAGTAATCATATGGATGAAATCACCATCTTACTGAACATGATACCACAAAATATATTCTTGGCCCAGTTTCTCACTATTATAGTAAGAGTTCATTAAGTTAGGTGAAAGAAAGTAGAAATGATAAAGAAATCCCAAAGCCCTGAAAGACAAAATAGGTCATGGGGGGAAGGGAGGAGGAGTAATATGTGGAGGTAATAAAAAAAACACAGATGAGTTAAGTCACTAGAAAGAGATGTAAATATCAATTGAGGATATCGTTCCTACTCTAAAGTCTTTCCTAACTCCCTATTATCTCCCCAGTGAAGTTCCAAGTCCTTTGCTTGACATTTAAGACCATACCCAAACTAATATTACCCTAACTTTTCAGACTTCAGTCTCCTCTTCACATACTCTGTAGTTCATTTAAAACGAACAATTATCTGCTCCCTGTGATCTGCACACTCATTCCCCTGACTTAGCTTCAGTTGTTCCCTGGGTATGCAATGTTCTCTTTTCTTTTTACCTGTTGAGTTCCCACCCTTTAAAGCCTGACTCAAATGCCACCTCTTTCAGGAAGCTTGCATTGATCACCATGAAGGAAGCAGTATTTCCTTGTTCTGTAATTCTCAGATGCACATTACATAGCAAGTACATACTAAATCCTTGACTGACTGAATGACAAACATTGGATATTATTGGTTATCTGTATTTTTGTCTCATCCTTTTACTAACCTCTTAAATTCCTCGAGAGCCAATGGCAAATTAAATTGAATTCAGCAAGTATATACTAAGCATCTACTATGTGCATGGCGCTCTTAGGCCCAATAACTACTATATATTATTTAGTGATAGGAAGGAAAAATGAAAAATGATCCTTGCTTTTAAGGAGTTTACTTTCTGTTTGGGAAGATACAACATATATACATATAAGTAAATACAAGGTAATCTGAAGGAAGAAAAATCACTAAGAACCAGGGGAATCAGGAAAGGCTTCCTGGAGGACATATCACCTGAATTGATTCCTGAATGAAGCTAAGAACTTTAAGAGGTAGAGGTGATGAAAGAGGGCATTCCAGTTATGGAGGAAAGGCTCTAAAGTTAAGAGCTGGAATGCTGAATATGGAGAACAGCTAGTAAGTGTGCAAATTTGGCTACAATATAGTGAAGTAAGAGGAATAATATGAAATACATCGGCAAGGTAGGCTGGAGCCAGATTATGAATGGCTTTAAATGAGGGCTGAGGTGTTTGCCTTTTGTCACAGAGCTAAGAAGGGAGGTTTTTGAGCTGGGGCAGAATACAAATAGACTCTTACTTTAGGCAAATGATGATGATAGCTGTGTAGGCAATGAATTGGAGGGGAGAAGAGGCTGGGATCTTATTTAGAAGACTGTTGCAATAGTCTAGGAGAGAGGGAATGAGGGCCTGAACTAATGTGATGGCCAAATGACACATCCAGTATTGGTCCTGATGGAAGAAGGAGGACTTCCCTTCCAAAGGAAAGGTGGGAGAAACAGCAAGGCCAGATAAAGGAGTACAAGTACCTATTTAAGTACCCAAGTATCCAAGACTAAATTTTATTTTTTTGTATTATTAATTATTAATTAATTAATTAACATTATTTAAGATGTAAGTATGTGTTAAATTGGCAAAAACAATTTAAAGGAATGGAACTCAATATTGCTGTCAACAAATTGG